ATTACAAAAAGCGATAAACAAATTGTTACTGATGTTTTACCAATAGTAGCAAGTTTGGTGGTAAAGAACCATGAAAAGATAGGTGTTAGAAGGCAAGTGAGAATTAAAAAATCATCAATAATACAAGTTGTTTTAAAATTGAGTCTAGAAGTTATACCATAAAAAACTATATTAAAAAATAGTCCTGCAATAGAACCAAAACTCGATACTTGATCAATAAAGGTAGTATGTGCAATTTGTTTGTAATAATTGCTATAATCATATTTATATATATAACTAATACTAATATTAAGCTTTGGAAGATATATCGTAGAGTATATAGCTTTACTCACTTCATCAGAATGAGAAGTAACCCAAAAAAAAAGGAAGAGTAAATAGAAAACCAGAACTATAACACAAATTATTGGTAGGTAGGATAATGCCTTAATCATGTTATTGTCAAAAAATAGCAACCAAATTTAAAAAAAAACTCGATTACAAGAGAATTATACGTTTGTCAATAATTACTCTACATATTTATATCTTTTTTTCGATAGACAAGTCATTTACAAGTGTTTGTTTTTTGTGAATTCTGTAATTTTGTGTAAATTACTAAAATTATCGACCACAATAAAAATTTAATACTATCGTTGTGAAAATGAACACTTTGTATTGCAAACATTTACTCTGTAATACTATATCAAGTAATATCGCTAGTACTTTTTTTATTTGTTTTGTTTCACACAGTAATGCTGATTTTTTCATTTTACATGGCAAATGTCTGCAAAATGAATTTAATTTTTTGTCTATCAGCAGTACCACAATTATTTATCAATGTTGAAATTTTAAAGGATGTTGTCTCCTTTTTAAGAATTTTGTTCTCAATGTGGAAATGGTATTCATTCATTAATAGTAGTTTGTTTTCTTATTTGAATTACATTGGATGGTTTCTTTTATCAGGTATATATGTCATGTGTCAGATTAAAACTGGCCTAAATTAGAGTTAGAGTTAGGGTGAGGACTAGGATTTAGCAAGGCTGATTATTGCAGATCATTTAATTCTGGCCTAATGGTTTTAATCTGACGCACATTGGTTTTAATCTGACACCAAGTTTTAATCTGACGCACAACATATATATTCATTTCTCATCATGATCTTTAAATGCTTGACTTATAATTATTAATTATTTTTATGACATAACTCGCGTGTTATTATTTGGTGAAATAAAATCTAGTTCATTAAGACACAATATTATTATATTTATATTGTTTTAAAAAAAAAGTCTATAACATATTCAGAGAAGTAATATCCTAATTAATTTAATAAGATATGATTACACAATAGCTATCATCTTCTTTGTCTTTGTAGTAGAATTAATGTGAGATTCTGATGATGTAGTGTTCTATTTAACTGTTGTATAATGTAAGCTTGAGATGATTGATGTCGCGTTAAGATTTGAATATGATCTTCAAGAACACATATTTGCTGATAAAGAATAAGAATATCCCTATAAATTTTATAAAACTAAACTATATTAAATGTGTATTTTCTTGTTTATAACACTTTTATTTCCTCTAACCATCTATAAGCTTCTTGAAATTCGATAAATATCTCATTATTCTGCTCATAAAGTGATCTGGGAAAGGATCTAAGAGAAGAGGACCTTAAAGAAGAGAACCTGGAAGAGGATCTAAAAGAAGAGGACCCGGAAGAGAACCTAATAGAGGATCTAGAAGAGCGAATTGGGCCAGGTATAATTTAAATGATTTTTTTTCACAGAACATTTGAGGAATTTAAAAGATTTTTTTATTATAGCATATTTACACAGCCTTTCATTAAAAAATTTATACTTTCCAAAAAACTATATATTTGAGATTAATATATGAATATCAGTTTTAACAATTTACTGTATAGTATATTTACAGAATACAGCCCGTGAAGCCAGTAACGTAGCAAGAATTTTTAATATAAAAATCAGTCTTATCAATATAGTTTGTAATAAACATAAAACTATACAATTATACTAGATAACTAATATGAAAAATAAGTTTTATAATGGCACATGGCTCTTGTAATAATGACTTTCGAATCCACGTCTTCCAATCATGACTTCTGCAAAAAAGTCATATAGTCTATTAACTGCTAAGTAATACCATTTTGTGGATTGGTCGACTCCAAAGGTCCCATGTACAAGTAGCTCATAAATCTCAAGAAAGCAGAATTTTCTAAGAGTCCTGCTAATTAATTTTCAATTTAATAAACTATTGAAATTAATAAAAATTATCACTTACTCATTTTATCATAATAGTAATATTCTATAAACGAGAAATTGTAGGTTAAGCTAATATTATAGCTTGGGCCAGCATATGTACAATTTCAAAGTCGAGGCGCAGCAAAAGCAAAGATAACATCTCTAACTTTGGTATCTTTAGATATCAAGGCTCTGACAAAGAAATTTATTGCATCAGCAGATTCTATCAGAAAGTAAGGATTTGTAACACTGGCCTCATCTGCACCAGCATCTCTAACACTCACTGTAATTGTGTATCTATTACAAGCTTCTTCATAATTCTCGTTTTTGAAATAATCTGGAAGATTCATTTTTGCTTTCAACTCAATATATAATGTAGTTAATTAATTTAGTTAAAATA